ACCAAGAACATGGAGGTGAGGAAGGAGAAAGAGGGAGGACAGGGCAGGCCCAAATCCCAAATCCATCTTAAACCTCTGACCCCCATGTACAAAACCAAAACCCCCCGGTACAGCACTCAGAAATTCTTCCCTTTACTTTGTGACTACTTCTACTCTAATATCTAAACTTTTGTGACTTCTTGTTCTCCCTGCAAGGTTGGTAACTCATCCCATGGCTCAAACCCAAAATCACAGCTGTTTGCAGCTGTGCCAGGGTCTCAAATGCTTCTGAGCTGGGCCCGGAACATCCAGAAATGTCTGAGGGACATTTTGAGTTTTGACACACAAGGACATCCCCAGCATTTCTGGGCACTCAGGGATCCCACAGCAGCTGGAGGAGCAGGATTTTGGTTGTGTCACTGCTGCCCTTTCCCACGTGGTGCTTGGGGGTGCCCCAGTGCCTGGTGCCTCTTCCACAATAACCGGGATGGGATTTGATGGGATTGAGGGTGGAATTGGGATTTGATTGGATTGGAATGGGATTGGGGTGGGATTGGGATGGGATTAGGTGGGATTGGGATGGGATTGGGGTGGGGCTCTGCTCCCACCCCCAGATCCAGCTGGGCTGGAGCAACAGGACAGGGGCAGGAAAGCACCAAAATCCATCAGAGGAATCAAAGGGGCCAAGCGGCAGCTGGAGCTCCCCAGAGCTCCTGATTCATTTTCCTCATCACCCCCTTTCCCCTGCCTGTCCCAAGGCTCCAGGTTTTCAAATATTTCATCCCATTTCAGTTCCCAGCAGTGCCTGGGCAGGTTCCTGCTGGAAGTCTGGGGGGGACAGGGTTTGTCAGGTCAGGCTCAGCTGGGAACAGGATCAGGATCAGGATCAGGCACAGCTGGAGCTGGGCCAGGGAGCTTTAGGGTGGAGAGCAGGAAAGGTTCTTCCCCCAGAGGCTGCTGGGCACTGCCCAGGCTCCCCAGGGAATGGCCCGAGGCTGCTGGAGCTCCAGGAGGGTTTGGACACCACTCCAGGGATGCACAGGGCGGATTGCTGGGGTGGAACAGCTCTTTCCATATTTCCCCAGATTTTTCCAAGCAGCTCCAGGCTGCTCTGAGTGGCCACAACATTTAGTTTTCCTCACTTGCTGCTCAACATTCCAAACCTAAATGAATGAATGAATGCACGGTTGGAGCAGGAAGTGTTCCAAGAGGAATGGAAGTGGAATATTCCCTGCACACCCTTCCCTGAGCACGCCAAGGTCAGCTCTGTCTGTCTGGGGCAAGTTTCTGTCCTGGCAGAAAGGAATGTAAGGAGAACCTTCAGCACCACTCAGATCCCTGCCACGTGAAAAGGAAATATTCAAATTGCACCACTATTGTAAATGCAGGCAAACCTAATGGGAAGAAAAGACAATGTTTGATTCAATTTAGAAGGTTGAATTATTTATTATAACTATGCTAAAATACATTATTATACTATATAAAAGGAGTATACTAAAACTACAAACTACTTTCTCTGACTCTAACACAACTCATGACTCTCTCAAGAGAGTCCAGCCCCAGGTGGGTTGGATTGGCCACCAGGCTCAAACAATCCTCACCAGAATCCAACCAAGCATCACCCCAGGGAAACAATTCTCCAAACACATTCCACATGGGAAAAACAAGGAGCAGAAATAGAAATTGTTTTCTCTTCCATTTCTCTCTGTGCATCTCTATGAAAAATCCTGAGAGGAAGAGAAATGTGCTTGCCACAGAGCACTTAACCCACGCTGGTTCAGCACCAGTGGAAACTAAACAGCAAAATAAGAACCAGCTGCTAAAATCAAACTGCTCCTGCTGCTCTCCAGGAAACCTTTGATGTTTCCAGCCAGAGCACCCTGGTGGATTCCCAGCATCCTCCTTAGGAGTGATTTTATTGTACAACGTTCACACCTTATCTCCCATTAATCTTTAATTTTATTGATCCAAAGAGTTTACACTTCCTAAAGGCACTAAAGATGGTTGTGCTCATGTGGAATTTTAGCCCCTCTGCTGCTGATCACTTCAGGAGTTTTTAGAAGCTTTCTGAGCTAATTTCTTCCTCCTTGTTACTGTTATTGTTTTGCACTCCTACAGCTGCACTTCGCTTTCTTTCCACGTGTAATTGCAGTTCTTATCTCTGCTCTCCACTGCCCGACCTGAAAATCCTGCTTGCAGAATGAACCTGTCAGCACTTCCTGGCCTCTGCATCCCACAGGGCATTTCCATCTCGCAGGGATTTGCTCAGAGCAGGGGGGAGTTTCCAGCAGATCCGTTTGCTTTTCCAGAGCTGACCTGAAATTCCTCTGTCCTGCTCGGCTGCAAGTTTCTGCTTCACTTCCCTGCTCAGCTGAAACTGCTTCATGCAACAGTTGAGTTCCAGTCTCCCTGAGACAGCCAACTCCTCCTTCCCCTACTGCTGACATTTCCAGCATAGAGCAGAGATAGGATATGAAATGGGATTTATTTAGATATTTTTCCAAGTATTTTTTTCCAGGGATCAAGGTGTGAAACCCCATCCTCAGAGCACAGACCCTCGGCAGGGTGTGCAAACACCACCACAGCCTCAGGAGTTTCCTTCCATCTCACAGATCTCACTGACTAGAAATTAGTTTAAAATTGGCTTTCAAGGCTTTTCAGTCCTTGTTGGGGATTTATGTCATCCAAAATGCTCTCATTTTAGGAAGTTGAATGTTTAAATTGCACACAATCCCTTCAGTTTCTTGCTTTACCATCAGGCTTTGGTTTTGTCGTGGAACTCAAAGCCTGACAAGTCTTAAACTTCATTTCCTCTTTCTGACTTGGCTTAACCAGGTTCCCATCTTGTATTTAGAAGGAAATAGATTCTGACAGCAACAAGATTCTTTGATCCATGATTATATCCTGGAATGAGCTCCAGGAACCATTCCCAAATGCCTCTGGATTTCCAATTCCCTCACTCCTTTTACCTGCTCTGGGAGGTGCAGCTGGCCCTGAGTTGAGATCAACCTGCAGAAGGAGTAGTTTGCTGACATTAAATCCTCCAACACCAAGTTCAAAGCAGTTTTTGTCTTATTTTTCTTTAGCTCAGTGTTATTTTGAATTTAAATGCCAAGAACTGCATGAGCATCCAGAGTTTTTCCTGAGTTTTCAGCCACCTTTTCCTCGGAGCAGGGAGCAGCTGCTGGGCCGTGCAGGAACAGTGACACCAGGTGGAGTCTCACCTTCAGCACAGGCACATCCTGATTTTTCCATGGATATTCCTGCACGAGAAGGGAGAAGAGATGGGATTGGATCCATCTCTGTCAGCCCCAGGTGGAAATTGAACCAGACTCTTCCCACTGGCATTCCAATGAAATTATTCCAAATCCCAAAAACCCAACAGAAGGAATCTTTACCCTAACTTTTTTATAGAAAACTTTCTGACACAATATTCCTCTGGAATTCCCTATTTTAAACTACTTCCAAGAGGAAGAGGCTGAAATAACAGTGATTTTGTTGCAAGTCCCCACCAGATCAGTGTCTCAATGTCTCAGCTTGCAAGCTCCCAAAACTGGCCCAGGAGCTGTCCCTGGAGTGCAGCCAAGCCCAGGCACCTGGCCTGAGCTCAGACGAGTTTTGCCCTCAATATTTCACCTCAGCCATTTCCATTTGGGAAAATCTGACACCCCTGGAGTTGCATCAGGCCATCCACAAACAGATTTTTAAAGCAATTAAAGGTGAAATCATCACCTTAACACACAAGACTTTTATCTAGGAAAAATAAAGTGAAAAATGAGTGTTTGCACACCCCAATCCCCTTTTTCTGTTTTTTCCCCTTAGTTATCCAGCTTTTGTGCTGTAAGCTCTGACTTATACAGCACATTTTTTTCACCATATTCTCTGAGCAAAACATAATCCCAAAGTTCTGCACAGCTTCTCCCATGACTTCCAACTCAAAATTCATCAACATCTGGGTGGAAATTCATCGCTGAGCAGGTCTGACTTAGAATCCTGAAGGATTTCTGTTATATAAAAAGAGCTTTTTGTGGTTTAACTTGGTGATTTTCAGAAGAGCTGTGGGGCAGGTGGCAGCTTTTATCCATGACAGTGAATACCTTTGTTAATTCCAGTGAAAATATTGGCAAATATTTAATTTCTTGGACATTCCCTAAACCCCTCTGAGCTGCCAAAGGGGCACTGGAAACTTGAGAACCTACAAAGAGACCCAACTTTGGTTCTGGGGAGCTGCTCCAGCCAACAAATCCCAGAAACCCAGGCAAGCCTTGGATTCAGCAGCACAGGATCCTCCTGCTGAGAGATCCAGGAAAGCTTTTCCAGGCTGGCAGCACAGCAAGGAAGGGGGGAAAGGGAGAGGCAAATCTCCAGGGATAACAGGATGAGACAGCACAAAAAATATCCAACATTCCTGAGAGACTCCAGCAAAGGAAGCAGGGAGGAGGAAAAGGATTGATGAAAACAGCACAGTTAAACCCAGATTTTATTATTCCCCCATCATATTATTCAGATTTTATTAAACCACCAACAGGGAGTTTATTATTCTGTCCTCTTTGGAATTGCAGAGGGCAACTGGATTTGAAAATGAACTAAAAAAATGATGAATCAAAGTATCTTGAGAGGTTTTTTATCCTTTATAGCCGATTTATTATTTAATTGCTGTGCATGTTGCTTTTAATCACTCGTCCAGACATGGGATATATTCCAATATTCATCACACTCCACAGGACTTTCCAATCTTTCTGATCAAGGGCTTTGCAGGGAAGTTTTCTTTGTGTAAGGGGAACAGAAATTAAGAGTCTTGAGCTTCCCCAAAATATGGATATATGGAATAATCTACAAGTATCATAAAAGGCTTCAAACCATTGTGCCAAAAAATGGGGAAAACCTTCCTCATGTGGGAAATAAAAGCTGTAACAGTAGCTTGGCACTCTGCCTAAAATCCAGGAAACTGGAATAAAAGCTTTCCCTCTGGACATCCTTCCTTATTTTCTCCACTGCAGAATTTGCATGGAAAGATCCCTCAGGGATGGGAGGAACTTGTAGAATTTATATTGCAATGCTTCTACCAGAAATTGAACTTTAATTGCTGATTCTCTGGAATATCATCCATAAAATATGAATTCCAGGCCATTATTTTGGGGTGCAGTGGGCGTTTTGTCACTTTTCCTGGCCTTGTGATGGTTAGTTATGATCTGGGGAGTTTTTCCTCCCCAAGGGAATATTTGTTGGGTGTAAGGCACTGTCCTTACTCTGTCAGCATTTCTGCCCCCTCCCCTCCAGTGGCGTCCTGGGAAATGTGGAGATCTTCCAGCATTTCAGCCAGGCTGATCCGTGGAGCTCCATCATCATCTGTGTCACTCTCCACTGGAATATCTGCATCTAGAAACACACAGAAATCCCCCCAGAAAAACAGCTAAGCAAAGAAAACAAACCCCAAATCACCAGAGCAACCCCAAGGGAAAATGAGGGGAAAAAAAATCAAACCAACAACACCAAAACAACCAACAAACCACAAAACCAAAAACCCAAAGACTCCTCCTAAAAACTCAACAGTCCCCTCATGGAAAAAAAATCAATTCTCTATCAAATCCTTCACCAAGCAGAGATTTTGGGTGCAGGAGGAAAGTTCTCTTTCACTCAAAGGCAAGGAAACAAAACCCATCAGGTGAAACACATCTGTGAAACACTTCAGAGCATTTCTCCAGGCATGAAGAGTTTGGAGAATGCTAATAGAAAATTTCAGTAAAATTGTTTTGCCTCAAACATGATTTAAACATGATTTAATTACACCCCCTGAAGGAGTTAGAAAGGTCTTACTTCTGTAAATGTTGACATTTTTCCTTATGGCCTCATCCTCTTCCAGATCTTCCAGGAAGTCCTGGTATTGTCTGTAAAAGATGTGGGATGTATTTACTCCCTGTTCCTTTGGATTGATGGAAATTCATGCAACAAAATAAAATCACAGAAACAAAATCCCATCAGACCTGAGAGCATCCCCACATTTCCAACTCGCCGCTGTTCTACCCTCACCCATTAATTCCCAACTCATTTATCTCTAATTTTCTTATTTTCTCCTCTCAGCTGGAGGTAATTTAGGAGCTGCTCTGTCACTGAACAAGGAGAGCAGATACTGAACCTTTCATGATGAAAATTCATGCAACAAAGTAAAATCACAGAAACAAGACCCCATCAGACCTGAGAGCATCCCCGCATTTCCAACTCGCTGCTGTTCTACCCTCACCCATTAATTCCCAACTTATTTATTTCTCATTTTCTTTTCTCCTCTCAGCTGGAGGTTATTTAGGAGCTGCTTTGTGACTGAACAAGGAGAGCAGATACTGAACCTTTCATCATCTGTGTCTGTGGCTTCCCTGTCCCTCTCCAGCTCCTTCAGCTTCCAGTTCCTGCGGCGCTGCCGCTTGGAGCGGTCGTAGCTCTTCTTGATCAGCACCTGCAGGAGAAGCAGCTCCTTTCTGCACCTCCCAAAATCCCAAAGCAGCACCCAAACCCACATTTGGGCATCTCAAACCAGCTGGATTAAAACTCAGCATATATTGAATTGACAGGGAGTTTGTTGGTTCAAATGTTTCCAAACACTTGGGAAATGGCCCTGAAGGGACAGACAGACTCTGGAGTTATTATTCAACACCCAGTGATTGGTAATTGGAATAAAACCAACAATTAATGTATTATCTAACCATGGTAATTGGAAAAAAAACCCCAACAATAAATGTATAATTTAACCATCACTATAATATTTAAGGAAATAATCCTTCAAAATCAGATGATGCTCAAATTTCACTGTTAATATCCTCTCTTCCTTCAGGCACTGCTCATTATAAAATCACACTCCCTCCCAGCCTCAGGTAATGGAGAGAACTTTGGGATTTTCTCACCACGTCAGGAATGTGTTGGGGGTTCATCTTGTTGGCAAATTCATCATTTAAGTTGCAGTTGGCCAAGTCGAAGCTAAAACAGAAACAGGGTTTTTATTCTGCTTTATAAAAACCCAGACCTCAGTGGATCACGTTTGTGCTAAAGGGCAGCACAGTGCAAGGTGCAGCTCCTAAGGAACAGAAATATTTCCAGAGGAAGGGAAACAAATAAAAATCCACATTAATGTGCAGCTCTCCTAAGTGTGAGCAGCTGCAGTTCCCAAATCCTGCTCTGTTGGCACTTCCCAACCTCTGGAATCCAAACTGCCACATCCACTGAGGTTCTGCTGGGTTTAAACCTTTTTAAGCATCACCTAATTTGCCTAATCTTACAAAGAATTCACATTTGTTATCACTGTATATGATATTCATTAGCAAGCAAATAATTAATTGGCGTTTTAAGAATCCTTCCCATTTATTTGTGGCTAAATTTTGATTCCAAGCTGCACTCTGAAGGCAATCAGCTCTCTTATTTCTAAGAATTTGTACGTGAAAACTCCTTCTAGAAAAGATTTCCTGGATTAGGACCAGGATGATTCCACCTTTTGCTGCTTTCATTTTGAAATCAGAGCAGTTCAACACTTCTTTGATAGAACATGAATTCAGTCATTAAATACTCATTTAATAAAAGTTTCAGAAAAGAAAAACAGACCCCAAGACCAGGTCCCCAGGATTCAGGATGTGCCCCAGGTGAGTGCAGCAGAAATATTGGTGATCCGTGTCCAGCTCCGAGGTTTTCCTGACCCAGGCTTCAGCCAGAGTGTGCTATGGGAAAGGAAAATAAAACCTTCCTTAACTAAACCCAGCTTAACCCCAACTTCTGCATTGATTTAAACTCCACTTGTCATTAAACCTGTGTTTCTGCATCACATATCCAATGCATCCCTTGCTACTCCCCATTGCTCATTACATAAAAGGAAATGGACATGGCAACTCCTTGGAATTCCCAAAGGCTGTTTCTATAAATAGACACCTATTTTAGCTTTTAGCTGAGATCCATTAATTCTGATTAAAACTAAATGCTTCAACAAAACCAATTCAGTCACTAAAGCTGCAGAGCTAATATTTCCATACCCAGTAACAAGCTGAGTTTAAACTCTGCAAGAGTTCCTGGAAGTGGAATTCACATCCTGCCTGTGCCATTTCCAAACCAAATGGTCCCAAGAAAAGTGGTTAAGATCCAGAACAGCCCAGTCTGACTGTTCCAGGCAGATCATGAATTCAGCTGAGCAGGAGGCCCAAAACATGAATTAAACAGAGACATTCTCACCTTGAGTGATCGAGCCCCTGCCCCAGCACCTTTTTTCTTCTCATGGACCCTGTTGATGTCCATGATGATGAACTCCTCCAGCTGCTTGGGGTGGAACAGGCTGTTGAAGGGGTGGCGCCAGTAGGTGTTGCCATCGATATCAGCAACTGCAAAATGAGCAGGGAGAGAATTTCTTGTGGAAAAAGAACCACTAACCAAAGTGAAGGCAATAGACTGACAAAATTTATTCATCACTGTAACAGAATTATTTAGGATGTGGCCCACACTGCTGCAGGAGCAGCTGATCTGTGACAGACTTTACTCAAAGGAATTATTCCCTGGATCTGTGGCAAGCACATTTCTCTCCCTCTCAGAATTTTTCATAGAGGTGCACAGAGAGAAATGAAAGAGAAAACAATTTCTATTTTTACTCTTTGTTTTTCTTACATGGAATGTGTTTAAAGAATTGTTTACTTGGAGTGAGTGCTTGATTAGATTTTGGTGAGGATTGTTTGAGCCTGGTGGCCAATCCAACCCACCTGGGGCTGGACCCTTGAGAGAGGGTCACGAGTTGTGTTAGAGTCAGAGAAAGTAGTGTGTAGTTTTAGTATTCTCCTTTTATAAAATATATTAATATATTTTAGCACAGTTATAATAAAGAAATAATTTAGCCTTCTAAATTGAGTCAGACATCATCATTTCTTCCCATTGGGTTCACCTGCATTTACAATACGGATCCATCCTTTTAGAGGGATTCTGCTGCCCAAGCTGAGCAGCACATCAAGCAAAGCAGAGAATTTCTGGTCCTGAAGTGGCTGAAAATTCACTCCAGATGCCATGTAATTGTAGGGGAATAAAGCTGACACAGGTAAATGCTCAGAACCTCCAGGAGCTCAAACTGAGCCTGCACGTTCTGCCCAGGATCCTATGGGAATCAAGCTCAGAGAACTCTCAGCTCACTATGAAATTTCTACTGTACAGATAAATTTAACAACATTAAGGTTCGAAAATCCAAGATTTTGTGGAAACAAACCCACAATAACTGTGCCAGCAGAACAATCAGGTGCTGAGGAAAGCCCCAGACTTACTCTGCAGAGTCCTGGGGTCGATGAGGCGGATGGTGCTGGTCACTCTGATGCACACACAGATCTGGCTCATGTTCCCCAGGCTCTGGGCCAGCTTGGGTGACAGACACACAACGTTGTCCTGCAAACCAACACACTCAGTTGACATTCCCATTTCCTTCATTTTTAACCAAATCTCCTGAAATAAATCTTTTAACTTGGTGTTTTTATTTTTCTAGCCCCAGTAACCTCTACATTTCCTGTGTGGATCCCTCCCTACCCCCAAACCCTACAATCTCCAAACCCCAATCTTTCCACCCTAAAGGTGAAGCAGAGGGAAGCTACCTTGCATATGGGAACAATTTCCACAGAGAAAGTGCTTTTGTAGTTGTAGACATTACTGTGAATGTCGTGGGAGATCAAACGTTGGGATGATTTGGATCTGTAAAACACGAAAAATTGAGTTCTCAGGAAAGAAGGGACATCACCTGGAACAGGAGATTCCCAGAACAAAGTGTCTGTGTCACAAATGGAAATATAAAGGAAACAGAGGTTAATTTTACCATAGTTAAGTGGAAAACTTGGGATTTTTGTAGAAGGGATTTTGTCTGTTTTGATTAAAATTCAGACTCCTTATACTTGCACTTACAAAGTTCTTTTAAAAGGGAGGATTTAAGACAGTTCCCCAAAGTTCTGAGTGCTCAAGGCAATGAACAGGAGAGCTGTACCTGGATGGAACTGTAGACTGAAGGAAGTCCACCATCTTCTGGGCATGTTGCTTGGAAGAGTAATAAAAATCCAGGCCATCTGAAAAGCATGGAAACAAATCTATTTCTATTCTATTTTATCAAATATAATTCATAAGCTTTTCTCTACAGAGCTCCCAGCACACACATGTGAAAACATCCATCATAAATCCAGGTCATTCTGCCTCCAGAGCCACTCACCGTGGATTTCTTTGATCCTTAGTGTGTTTTGATGGAGCCTGTGCTTCAAAATCAGCTGCTCCAAATAGTAAAAAGTCTTCTTGTGCACAGTCTAAAGCCAAACAAACACAAAAGCATCGAGGTTATTAAAGGAGCATCAAGTAACAAAGCAGGATTTCTGAAGAATAAACATTTATATGAAGAGATCACCTAGAGAAAGAACATCCAAGTAAACAAAAATATTTCAGAGTGCTCTACTTATACTTATTTAAAGCTTCCATTTCTCATTTTTGTGTAACTGGTTGCTAGAGAAATCTATTAAAGAAGAATTAAGTATGTGTCCCACTGTTTCAAAACTGCCTTAACATACAGGAGGGTATTTAGTTATGCACACAAGATTCTCCTGCCAGCATCATTTTAAAGAATGTTAACACTGGACAGCAAAAAGTTTTTCTAAACTGAGTTGGAAAAAATTCAACAAGCTTGAACACAAAACATATCCCTGTGGCTAAGCCTGAGTACATTTTGTGTGAGAAATCCAGAAAATCACCCAATTCTTTGCCTGACTGTTCTGCCACGAGCAAATAAAAATTCAGTTTGCCTCTACCTTCTGCCTGACTTGCACCACAGCTTTCCAGAAATCCTTGGCTTCAATCCTGTGGCAGTCTTCACACATCTGAGATTGAACAATGTACTCCACCACAAACACCTGCTGCAGAACTGCCCCATTTATCACCTGCAAAACAAAAGTGTTTGAGGTTCAAACTCCGTTTGGCTCACAAATAACTGCAGTATTTTCCCATCTTTACTGCAACAGACAATAACTTTCTACATGCTGATGAATGGCACTTCAGTGACAAAATTTAGGCAAGATAAAAATCTAAAAATTAAAAAAAAATAATTTAAAAATCTTGTTGTTTGCCATAACAGCTTTTTAAAAGCCACAGGGAGAAGGTTATGCTCCAGTTACCTCTTTCTGAACAGTCAGTTTGAGCTTGATTCTCTTGGAATGTGGTTCTGTCCAAATGAATCCTGCATCAATCAGCCGGACCTGCCCGTGGGGAAGGACAAGAGCTCAGTAAAACCAAGCCTAACTCCACAAACAGAAACTTATGGTTCAGTAAACAAGTAAATAATCTGAATTAAAGATATCCAATTAATAGTACTTAGCTAGAACATGGAGGTTGATATAAAACCAAGATGCTCAATCTCAGGTCCTTCCCTCTAATAATATTCTGAACGTAGGGGATGCTTTATTCAACTGAAGCATGTGAATTTGAGTTAATCTAGGTACAGACCTCTGCAACCCTTTTTCCTATCATCATAAACCAGTGAGAACATACATTGCATAAATAATTTCTGAAATGTGAAAAATACTCTGAAATTGAGGCAGATTAAAAGCACATCAGCTTCCCCCAGTTCATTCTGCTCAGCTCCCATCTCTGCAGTAACAATTGTGACCAGGCTGTGACATCCCAGCAGGATGAGCTTCTCACCTTGCTCAGGGAAGCTTTGATCTTCTTCAGACACAAAGCCAGGAGCTCTCTCGATTCCAGGGCACACTGGATCCAGGTTCCTGGAGGCTGGAGATACCTGGGATGCAGGGAGCATTTTACACCGCATTAAAGCTGCTTGAGCACCTTAAATCACTCCAAGGGCGAGCAGCTACTGCCAAAGCTTTCAGTTTAGTAACACCAATGCAGCTACAATTTTTATAATCATATAAAATCATGGCAAAGCAGCCAAGGTGGCCGAGTTCATTCCGCCAGCACCGCCAAAGCCAACAATGGACCACATCCCAAAATGCCACACCCACATGGCTTTCAAATCCCTCCAGGGATGGGCATTTCACCAGAACCCTGGGCAGCTGTGCCAGGCTGGATATCCATTTCCATGAAGGATTCTTCCCGATATCCAAACCAACTTTTCCCAGAGCCAGAAGCTTCCCCTGAGCATCCTTTTCTCCAACTGAGCCCCCCAGCTCCTCCTCACCAAACCTGTGCGCTTTTGCCTACCTAGACCCCGAGATGGATGCACTCTAGGTGCATTCCAAGGGCATTTCGCTGCCATCCCCAGCGCTTTGGCGGCTCCTCACCTCTCGCACTGCTTGCAGAAGTGCACCGTGCCCTGCTTGGGGATGCCCTCGGTGATGTCCACCTGGGCCCGCAGGCAGCCCACGCACATGTTGGCCGGGTTGGGCGGGATGGGGACGCCGCACTGGCAGCACAGGCTGGGACACGGGGACAAAGAGAAGCACAGTTAGTCACGGCCACGGGCAGTGCCAGCACCGGGAGCGCCAACCCCACCGCTCACATGTGTCCCGGCGCCGGGGCCGCGGCGGCCGGCAGGTACTCCATGGCCGCGGGACGCGCCGCGCTTTCCGGCCGCCGGAGGAAGGGGAGGGGACGGCGGGACCCGGCCCGCGGGAGGGTGGAGCGAGGGGATGGGGAGGGACGGGACGGAGCCGTGAGGGAGCGAGGGACGGGCCGGCGGGGAGCCATGGAGGGCGGGCGGGAACCGTGAGGGAGCCATGGAGGAGCCGTGAGGGAGCGCGGAAAGGGACGGCGGGGAGCCATGGAGGGCGGGCGGGAACCGTGAGGGAACCGTGAGGGAATGTGGAAAGGGCTGGCAGGGAGCCATGGAGGGGCGGGTGAGAGCCGTGAGGGAGCGTGGAAAGGGACGGGAGGGAGCCATGGAGGGCGGGCGGGAACCGTGAGGGAACCGGGCGGGAATCGTGAGGGAATGCGGAAAGGCCGGCAGGGAGCCATGGAGGGCGGGTGGGAACCGGGAGGGAACCGTGAGGGAATGTGGAAAGGCCGGCAGGGAGCCATGGAGGGGCGGGTGGGAACCGTGAGGGGGCGAGGAAAGGGCCGGGAGGGAGCCATGGATAAGCGGGCGTCAACCGTGAGGGAGTCGTGAGGGAACGTGAAAAGGGCTGCGAGGGGAAGAGGCGCGGGGAAGCGGTGAGGGGATCATGGCAGAGCTGTGAGGGGATCATGGCAGAGCTGTGAGGGGCCATGGAGAGGCTGGAGGGAGCCGTGAGGGAGCAGGAAAGGGCCGTGAGGGGCCATGGAGAGGCGCGGGGAAGTGGTGAGGGGATCATGGCAGAACTGCGAGGGAACGTGGACAGGGCTGTGAGGGGCCATGGAGAGGAGGGAGGGAGCCGTGAGGGGGCCGTGATGGAGCCGACATGGAGAAGCGGGCGGGAGCCGTGAGGGAGCAGGAAAGGTCCGTGGAGCAGGGAGCCATGGAGGGGCGGGCGGGGACCGTGAGGGAACACGGAAAGAGCCGTGAGGGGCCATGGAGAGGCGCGGGGGAGCGGTGAGGGGATCATGGCAGAACTATGAGGGAACGTGGGAAGAAAGGGCTGTGAGGGAATCGTGATGGAGCCGACATGGAGAAGCGTGAGGGAGCCATGGAGGAGCCCTGAGCGAGCCCGGAAAGGGCGTGAGGGAGCCATGAAGTGGGCGGGAATCGTAACGGGTGTTACAATTCATTAATTAAAAATTAAATTATATTTTTATTTACAGGGAGGAGCCGGTACAGTCCGTTCGCTTTGTATTCTATGTGTGATAAGCACCCTGTGGAAAGGAGGAACCACCGTGGCGGGGTGTCAGAATTAATTGACTTTTAAGGTCGTTTCCAGCCCAAAGCATTCTGGTATTTGATGATTCTGTGACGCCAAGCTCTATTTGTGCATCAGCGTTTGTTTCCTGCAGGTTAGGCCGGAGAAAAATAAAGCTAAATTGCATCAACATGTTGTGTGGGATTTATTTAATGCGTAACTCTTCACATCCTGATGGAAGTGAAGAGTTCTTTCACTCAAGGACTGAAGATCATAGCCTATTGAGCTGTCTGCTATGTTTTTAATTCTTTGGCACATTTTTCTTTGGTGTGCTGCTTGTGTTTACACAGCTACTCACTTCTGCTCCTTTGAAATTAAGTTTGTTTGCTGATCTTTCTGGAGACTTACTATGGAACATATTATTAAAAACAATGAAAGGAAAAAGCAGAATAAATAAAATAAATGTTTCCCTGTCCTGAAGTTTTGTTTCAGAACCTCTGCCGCACATTGGGTGTTACGTAGTTTTTACCGTGAAGCCCTGATGGATCGCTTGATCTTTGATTTTGGAATAAAACACTTCCAGGCTGGCATTTGGAGAGTCTGGCATTGGGAGAGGGCTAGGACAAAGCCTGTCCTTTATGCAAGCCACATCTTTGAAATCACTGGGAGGAGAACTGGATCATGATAATGCTGGAAAAGTTTCTGTTGCAGATTTATTTTCAACTGCAGGTTTATTTTTTCCACTTAATTTTGCTGCTAATAGACCAAATCCCACCTCAGCTCAAGGCACAGCCTCAGTGAATATCAAAACTGTGTTCTCTGTAGTCATCAAGGTTTGCTTCTGCAAGCTCTGGTTGTCCTCTGGCTTCCGTGGAAAAATTGTGTTTTAAACTGTGTTACAACCAGTTCTGAAGGATTTTATATTTTTGCACTAAATGAGGTAAAAAGCAAAGCAGCCTGAATCTCACCCCTAGTGAAAGCCATATCAGTTTGTAATGATTTCTTACGTGTTTTTCAGTGAGTATTAAATGTTATATTGATTTTATATAGGCATTTTCTGCCTCTACTGCCATATTCTTTCACAGCATTTCAAGGATCTGTGCCACAGGCAATGGCAGTGAGCACACCATTTAAATATATGTAAAATTTAAAAGTTCACACTATTTAGAAATGGATTTCAATATAGATTTGCTCTCAGGCTTATTTATGGATGGCTGAGCCCTCAAGAAAGTCCCTGTAGGTGTTTTTGGGAAAGCTGAAGTGCCAAAGCAGAAAAACCAGGAGATTTGTGCCAGAGACAGCAGCTCCCAGCAGCTTCATTTTCAGTAGGAATGTCCAAGAGAACGGTAAATTCATGGAATATCCCTGTGATTAATTTAACAGACACCTGAGGTCACTCTTCCCTCACATAAACTGGATCCAGGGAAGGAGGTGCTCCAGGAGCTCCTGGACCTTTCCTCCTGAGGAGCTGCTCTGACCTTCCCAAGGAGGGTTTGTTCTGGGCTGCTGTTTTCATTTCCAGTATAAAACTGCAGGAATTTAATAACACAATCAAAGAATGTTTTACACTTACATTTTCCTATTCACTTCTATATAAATTGGGGATTCAGAGCAGTGTGCACATCACAAACAATAAAAATATCCTCCTTTAACTGTAGGGTTTTAGTAACAGCATCCAGATGGGAGCATGGGAAGGGCTGTGCAATAAAATTAAACACCTTTCTGATCTTTACTGCTGCCCAGTTTAGTTCTGAGGAGGATCCTGGAGGTACCCAGTCTGTATTTCTTTTCAAATCTATTCTAGAATTCTTTACAAATTATTTCTCACAAGTGTTCACACATTCCTGGCAATTTTGCTCCTCTTCTTATTGCAGGAAGCCACGATTTAGTGAAATGGAGCAGTTTCCATTCTGACAACAGAGGAATTTCCAGGATTCAGAGAGGAATTAACAGAGGAGTCACCAGGATTCAGAGAGGAGCATTAACAGAAGAGTCACCAGGATTCAGAGAGAGGAATTAACAACAGAAGAATCACCAGGATTCATAGAGGGGAATTAACAACACAGGAGTAACCAGGATTCAGAGAGGGGAATTAACAACACAGGAGTAACCAGGATTCAGAGAGGGGAATTAACAACACAGGAGTAACCAGGATTCAGAGAGGGAATTAACAACAGAGGAATTTCCAGGATTCAGAGAGGGGAATCAACAACAGAAGAGTCACCAGGATTCAGAAAGGGGAATGAAAGGCAGGGCTTTTTACGGGAGCTGTTTCAGTTCCCAGTGCCACCAGGGACATTCTTGGGCAGGAACAGATTGTGCCTGGCCTTTGTGTGGGGTGGCAACTCCCAGGTTTATTCCGAGCCAGGATCCAGCTCCCAGTTTGTAATCAGACATCTCCAAGCTGTCTATTCCTTTGGAAAGCAGGGCTCTCCTTTCTTTTCATAGATTGCAGCTGGGAAGTTGCAAATTGGTAATTTCAGCAAGGGCTGCTGCTTGGCGTGTCCTCCGTGGTCTGAACGGGAGGAATAACATTCCCTGATTCCACTGGGACACGGCACTTCCAGGGGCTGCTCGCCGTGTGTTCACCTGCACTAAATTTACTGGGATAATGCTCCAGTTATTTTCCAGTTCTTGCCTATTTCTTCAGTTCTTGTGAGCAATCCAATTAGCAATCCAATTTACAGTGAGAGCCACGAGCATTATCACTGCTGAACTTCAAGGCAGGAACAAAAGGAGCCACAAGAGCTCCTTTAAAATAGCTTTGTGACAGGGATGGGGATATTGTGACATCCCACTCTCAGCTGATGGAGGTGAAACTGTTGCATCACCAGCTTTAATGAGCGTTGTCACAGCACAAATCCCCGTGGGTTGGCTTTCTTTTCATGTGTGTGTGAAGCTTGCACGTCAAACACGTGGGATGCAGTTCAGGGATACCTCTGGAAGTGCTGCCCTGTGTCAGACAGGGGATAACTCCCAGCCCTGCTCAGGCAGCTGGGAGTAGCTGGATGCTCAGCGTGCCAGGGGCAGAGCTGCTGAGTTTGTGCACACAGAGGAGCAAGCAGCACCCTCTGCTTCCTAAATCCCTGGAACCTTCTAAACACTCCTGCTGTGCCTGTCCTGGGCTCACAAGAAGCAGGATTTGTCTTAGTAGCCTTTATAATCCAAACTGTATTGAGCTGCTCAAACAAGGAGACATCCCAGATTAACGAAAGTCGATTTAGATTAGAGATGAGGGAGAAATTGTTCCCTGTGAGGCCCTGGCACAGGTGCCCAGAGCAGCTGTGGCTGCCCCTGTGCAACACGGATAAAAAATTAAACTCTACAATTTTAATGAAGATTTATAGCAATGGGTATGTTTATTTACAGCGCTGTGGACGCATGTTGGGACTTATTGTTCTTTAATGGACATGCGTACCTCTGAGAAATCTCAATCTTTTTTATTACTCTTATTATTTTTTATATGCATAGAATTTTACAATAGGTTAATGCATATTTATTCTGCTTATTTTACATTACACTTATAGCTAGTAACACTTGTGCTCAGTTTTTGTTAGAAAGTACAGAAAGAACTCCTGGGTTACTCTGCCTTGTTTGTTTCAAGGCCTGAGGAGTCTTTCTTATTTTTTATCTTTTAGTGTGGAAATTTGCATTCTTTTTCCTTAGCTGGGGTAGCTTTTCTAGGGCTGTAGTCACCAGACTAAATAACATATTTAGGAAGCTCAAAGTGGCACATTTTACCTAAATCTAAATGGGTTTCTACCCTGTTAAATTTTCACTCTGTCTCACCTGGATCCCTGGGAGTCTCCAAGGCCAGGTTGGACACTGGGGCTTGGAGCAGCCTGTGAGAATGGAAAGTGTCCCTGCCATGGCAGGGGAGAGGATAGGATGGGATTTAATTTGCCTTCAGAGCCAAACCATTCTGGGATTCTGGGATTCTGTGAAATTGTGATAACTCTAACATCATGTCCTTTCCTTCCTTGATAAGCAGGGACAGCCATGGCCAAGGTTTCACTTTAAGGCAAGCATGGACAGGAGCCAGGAGGTGTGTTTGTGTGTTTGTTACCAGGCTGCACTAGGCATGAACCTCAGACTAAGAAATAATTGTTTTAAAAAGATAAATATTTGCTCATCAGAACATGAGGATGATCATACAGGAGCTGTTTGCTTTCCACTTGCCTTGGTAATCTTCCGTGTGCCAGCTAAAACATCTCATCCCATTAAAGGAATCCTGCTGAGAGGTGGGGTGAGCTGAGAGCTGCTGGGAGAGGACAAGTGTGGACATCAGAGAGGTTCAGGTTGGATATCAGGAAGAATTCCTTCACTGAAGGAGTGCTTAAGCATTGGAATGGACTGCCCAGGGTAGTGGTGGAGTCACATCCCTGGAAGTGTTTGAGCAGCACTGCATGTGGCACTTTGGGATATGATTTAGTGGGTTAAAGGTTGGACTTGATGATCTTGGAGATCTTTTCCAACCTCAATGATTTTGTAACCCTATGATCAGGAAAATGAGTGTATTTTTCACTCTGAGTTCTCTGATGAGAGAGCATGAGAAGAGCAGTATGCAGGTAAAAATATTTTGCACATTATTCCTGCTCAAAAACTGCACATAAAAATTATGGAGAGAGCTGACATTTCTGGACTTCACTTTCCTGACTTTCTTTGCTTCACTCTGTCTGGCTGGAGACAAAACCAGGGAAAATGCCAAAAATACAGTTCAGTGAATGAAGATTGGTTAAACAATCAGGGAAGGAAAACATGGAAAAAGGAGGAGGAGGACAGGGACTCTCTGTTCACCCAGGACTTTATCAGACCACTGGGACATTTTAGCATTAACCATCTTCCCTGTGGCAACCTAAGATGTGTTGAAATAAATGAGATTTGCTAAATGAAATGACAATTAACACCTTCTTCTTAACCACTCATTATTTCTTTCTGCTTGCTCCAGTCCTCTCTGATGGCATTTTCCTGTTACAATTATTCAGCAAAATAAACTCCTGGGGGGGAGATGTCGCAATTGTCGTGGGATGGATCCTTTCCCACCGCTCCCACCTCGCTGGCACGGGCAGGACATGGAATGCTGACACATCCCTGGGAAAAGGTGTTTGTGCAGGTGCTGCTCAGCCAGAACGTTGCAAAACCAGGGCTCGCTGCATGGCCAAGGGAGTGGAAACTTCCCCAGCTGATCCC